CGAATTACGAAAATCCATTTAAACAGATTTGAAAAAAAAGTCAGCGATCTAATTTGAGAGATCTTGGTTCACTTTAAAATGTTATTAACTCTTAAACCAACAAACGTAATCAGCATCTGAAGTCTTCCAGCGATATATCAATGGGTCACGGTGGCAGCAGTAGCCACATATACATATTGTTGACCTATTTTCCTGCTGAAGCTTACCTTCGTTCTAAGCAATTTGGTTTAAGTCTCCCAAAGAAAATGTCTGGATAATGCTTCTTCATCTGAACCTGAAAATAACGAGGCCAAAATAAGTAAGTAATCACACATCCATTTAAGAACTACTTCAGTGATTCTGTCGAGCCTCTTCCAGGGGCTGGACCATCGAATATCACGCGCAAACGTTGATGAGAAATTTACAGAACCATGAAAAAAAAAGCCTCTAATGTCTTATCTATTTTGGCATAAGGGACTGCCATACTGAAAGCGTCATTTAAATTTTGCGGACCTATCTGTTTAAATCGACATGTTTATGACAGCCTACCTTCATTACAAGTGCTTTTTTCTCCCACTCCCATGCCTTGTTATGATGTCTCCTTGACTGCTCTGCAGCTAAAAGTGAAAAAAGAAAAAAAAAAGAAAAAAAAAAAAACAACGGAATGAGTAAATTATATCCACCACAGTCTTGGTTTCTCTATGGGCGTCGATGTTAATATGGCATTGGAGTAAATACACAGAAGAGCTTCGTTCTACAATGAATTTTCATTTTGCATTAGCATCGTTGTGCATGTTTGACGGTGAGAGAAGTATATTCTAGATAAAGTAGAGAATTGAGAAATTAACTGTTTTTGCTGCTTTTTGACGAAATCAGGTTGTTTCTTACAGAAAACTGCTTTAAGGTAAAACATGACGAAAATACAGCCATGCTCTATTGCCGGTTCACTGAAAGATCTGTTCTAACGAAAGGAATAACATGGTTGGTGTAAATAAACGGAAAGAGTTTGCCCTCGAAAACGGTTCCTTGCCGCCATCAGCTGATGAATTACAGTAAACATTACTTGGTAGAATTGTTTCGTTTCTTGCACGTAGCTTACTTTGCCTTAACCACACAGTGCCTCACAATTTCAACTCTTACCTCGCCGGGTTTTCGGGTGTCTCTGTTGAATAAACTCGGGCTTCAAGCTACCGCCGTTAGGTTCTCAACACTTTGACAGCAGTGGTCAGAGAACTTCCATATCTATTACAATTATCTTCCCTCGAAGAAGTCAGACTGTTACGACCACGAGGAACCGAAGAATAAAATGTAAATGAGTTGCGCTATCGAGACCAAAAAAAGTCACACCTGAAGCTTTGCACGTGTAAATTGCAGAGCGAGGGTCAATTGTTGGGTTGAATTAATTCTAAAATAAAAACCAGAGAAAACATTTATTATTGCTAATCAGAGAAGCATTACTAACACTGAATAATTCCATGGTCGCAGAAAATCATGAAGACAATCGTACCATCGTGGGTTGCTTTTGTTATCTCGACTGACCTGAGCACATGTCATTTTTATGGAACTTTTTAACCCCTTGATATTTGAACTTGTCAGAATATTTTAAGAGTAGCTTTTCAAGCAAACGCGCGGTGCTAGCCCGTAAGTATTTATGTGTGATATTCCTAATATGGTCATCCGTATAAATTTTTTTGTTTCCCATTGCTCTCTTTCTCGTAAAAGCGAGTCTGTCAGATAGTCAAAATAAAAAAAAGAAAGAAAGAAAGAAATAAAATGAAATAAAAGCAGACAAACTAACAAGTAAGAAGTTCTAAGTAGGTTTGAATATACCCATCGGCGCCAGTGACACTCTAAAAGGTGTTCGAAAACATCGTTATGTGGATTGATTTAGATGTCAAAGTCACTTGGAAATGCATATGAAAAATGTTAAACTTGGAAACACCCGAAAAGGGGCAATAAGTATTTGAATTGTTTTGGAATCGGACGGGTGATGGACGAAACACATTTAAACGATGGCCTATAACATGTAAATTGTGTTTAGTTTTCTCCTGTCTTTGTTGATGATCTTATTAGGAAAACTCAGTAGAATTTGCTTATGAACAGATCTCCTGCCATTATATGTTATCTATCTGATCAAATGGATGTAAGTGAAAGCTACTGGAGAACAATAAAAGATCGTCTTACCAAAATGTCTGAAAATGTTTACTATACAGTTTTAAAATAAATTTAGAGTTCTAAATATATAAATGTATAAATGGTTTACGCCGAGGGTAATGGTAAAGAAAATATCCATAGCCACAGCTCCAGGAAAGGTCATTGAAAATTTTGGAGGCCGGGTTGGGGGTCTCAAACGCCAAAATTTTAAAGGAAAGTATAAAGCTAGACTGGAATTTCTAGAGGGGTAGGGTGGGGAGTCAGGGTTGAAACCCCCCCAAAAAAACATTTGTGGCAGTTATGGATATCTTATGAAGCAATATTTCAGAGCGGAAAAACATAATAAGCGTGTGTGAGTTTTGGCTGCGCGCTCAGGCTCCCAGTTTGAAATTTAAAACATGGCGGGAATTTCGTAGATCGTGTAAACAAGAAAGGTTACGAACTTTATATGCGTTCCCAAATTTCCCGGTAAGCAGCAACATTAATTTTAACGTTACTAATGCAAAGCTGGTGTATTGTTTTCGTGGGGAATCAATTTTTATTCGGAAAAAATAACCTAAAGAAGGTTTCCGAATCTTTTATTTTCCGACAGTATACAGGACATTTCGGAGCGAAGGCAAATTTTTTTCCACAGACACTCTTTGCATATTGCATTCATATAAACATACTACTGAATATATAAGCAAGAGAAATATGCAGTCCGATGTTTCTTCCACCATTGCAGCCTGCATTGTTACCAGCATTACTACCTCAAGTACGGCTAGGGACGAGCGGAAACCTGCACAGTACGTTTTTCCGCTCTAAGAGCAATATTAGTGGTCGGTTGATACATGGCGTGTTTAACGCGCGAGGTAAGTTGTCGAAATATAAAAGAGGGCTCGAAAGCGAGCGCGGAATAGTCTGAACTCGACTTAGGAACTCAAGTCAGTCTTGTTACGACGAGGACAGCCTTTCTTGTGCTCTCCGCAAGCCATAATGGAAACGCAAACGAAATATAAGATTTATGTGAACAAGCCATTTCAATTTCTAAAATTTAATCTTCGATGTTACATTTGATAGTATAATCTCAAGTTATTGCACAAAACCATTTCAGTAAAAAACTCCCTTATACTAAAGAACACAATTCAAGTTATTGTTCGAGCGCTAATGCTTAAGTAAAGAGGAATGCACGTTTTATAATGGTAATAGGACTGAGTGGAGTCCAATTCGGTCTGTAATCATACGAGTGATTAACAAAATCGGACGACCGCGAAGCGGGAGTCAGATTTCTTAATCACGAGTATGATTACAGACTGAATTGGACGAAAAATCGCAAAATGACGCGTACTGTCCAATTACAAGTATGACGCGTACACTGTCCAAATAATGCTCAAATCGGGCTGCTGATAGCCAATCACGTTCGAGAATTTTGTTATAGTTTTGATTAACTTGGATATTGGATAGGCTGTGTTCTTCCGGGAGACTTAAATGAGGATGAGCTGGGAATTTCTCGCTTTCTCACGACGCACAAATTCCCATTCCGGGAAGTAGCTGTCGTTTTTAAAAGCCGCTACAGTTAATTAAAAATAGCAAAGAGGCAATCTTGACTTCAAAACAGACAACACGACAGCGGTCTCGACCTAGTCATTCTCGTTTTCACCTGCGCGTGCCATCGTCGGTGGTGTCCCGTGGCCTTTGTTAAATCTTTCTCCACGCACAAGCACGACGTGCAAATACAGGAACTTGGAGCGTGTTTAAACTTCTCTGTACTTGTACAGTTGGCCCAAAAAGTTTGCTTATGTAACCAAGCATGCGGGGGAAACTTTGTTTACAGCATTTCACTCACTAACATAAGAAATATCAACATCACATATCAACTGCGTAAGTTGTGTGTATAACTGCGATGATCATGTCTTTCATTATTATGTCTTCGTCATTGATAATGGGACAAAATGTATACAATAATGCCAGCAAAGATCACCCCAATAAGGCCGAGTAATACAGGCAACATTTTGTGGAGGAGACATGGGTGCGGCTCGTCCCTGTTTCTTCCCGCCTCGGGTTTGATGATAACACTGTCGGACCCTCCTATGTTCACACTTAGTGCCCGAGCACGGTGCCCGACTAAGATTCTCTATTTCATAGCTAATCTGCATATCACAGAGACGCGATCCATACTGTTTTTAACCAAATGTGATAAAATGATAGCATAGGATGAGCAAAAGCACACCCAAAAACAGGTTTGTCAGTAAACGATTGTAAATCAAGCAAAATACTGCGAAGATTGAAGCGGATTTCTAGATGTACTCAACGCGTATCTTTGATTTCAGGTTGAAGTGAACTCTTTTCAAAGTGAGAAAACTAGTGTCCAGGTCAGCGCGGTCCCAAAGCTGATTATGTCCTTTTAAATCATTTTTTCACTCGTTTAGTGTTTATATCGACGAACATTTTTATCGATAAGCTGTTCATAAACTTCGCCCCAGACACCTTTGCCTTAAAATAGAGATTTTTTTTGATCTAAAACAACACCTTAATTTTAGACTTAGTGGGCATGCAGTATGGTTTATAATATGCGATATTATTGCATAGTCACCAACTTGGATTTTAACGGCAGAAAATTACCGAGAGGAATTAAGAAATTTCAAATTCGAACTAAGCTGGTGAACCTACCTTGAGAAGTCCAAGGTTAAGCAGAAAGGAGGAGGGAATGTTTTCTCTATCTTGGTCAGCCTAAGTTTCCGGTCAAGAACTTCCTTTGCTTACGATTTTAATATGTGGTTTTCCTGTCCTTTTGCAGCGTTTAACAGAAAATGTACGTGGGACAATTAATAAAGGATTTACGACGACAGAAATTTCTTTAAACTTAAAATAATGATTGCTATGGTTAAAGTGGACAACCTTAAATAAAACTGTTAGATTATCTCGGGTACTGCCCAAATAGATCACACACTTCACACAAGTCTCAACTGATTTTCATGTTTATTTCATATTAAACAATGAAGGTATTTAACTCCGTATTTAATAGACTGGATTGGATCAGGCCCCAACGGAGGCCTGGATAACAGTGATCTGTCCCATGTGACGTCGGTTGGAGAAGTTGTTATTGCGCGTGCTCATGTAACAGTACTCCCCAGGCTTCGTGATGCGAAAACACGGCGGGTTGCAGGAAGCCGGGGCGTTGTTTAGCTGAGCCTGGAGGTTGTCAGCGGTGTAGCAGCCTTTGTTGAGGTGAAGATTCAACTTTGCAGCGTTAAATTCATTTACATGGTCAACCACTTCAAGAGGCAAGCTGTGACAAGCTGCTGGCTTGAGAGAGCTGCATCCTTCTTTTACCCAACACACGTTGGTGCGATCCGTTCCTGAAATAAAAAAGGTATCAATTTAAGTTCGTGCATTATTGGTTATTTTTCCTTCCAGACTACTGCATTGAAATACTTTGGGCAATACGTCTTTCCATGGACTCGAGGAAACATGCGGATTTTAGAACTTTGAGGCACTACTGATACTCAAGGGTTCGACCATTTACTATACATTTCTGACTGTTTTCTAAAATAGAGATAAATCATTAAAGTCTAATTCCAAGTAGTTATAATGCACACTGGCACTAGATCCCCTGATTTGTTTCAGGTTCCGTATGCTCAATACATTGCAACGAAACTGAACTAAGCAGTTGTCCTATTAAACGGTATTTTTACTGAAGTTTAATGTCTCTTTTTTTAAGAAATTTATGGCAAAATGTCTGCTTACGTGCTGTCCCTTCACCGTCGTTGTTTTGATTGTTGTTTGAACCTGCAAGATTGAAAACATGCACAAAACCTTAATTCTGAAGTGAAGTGTTAATCTAACCCTGAAGTGTCATCTCAAAGTCACAATTTTATTTGTCCTCTTCATTCTTCCATCCTATCTAATTTCACCGTCATACCAATGTTCGTCTGCGCAATCCAGTTAGTAAAATTGTAGTAGGAATTTACAATAAATAATTGTGTTCTCACCAGACCAGACGAAACATAGCACATCATGTGTTGTAACTGTAATGCGTTCAGGAGTGAAGCGATATTCCATGGCTGGATAGGCCTGCACAATGTTTCCTCTCTTTCCCATTCCTCCGATGTAGTATATGTTGGATTGCCGATATTTTGCAGGGAGATGATTTCGCGGCTTTAGGAGGATCACGTGACTTCTGTCCTGGAATGTTCGGGCGAGCTGCGCGGTGTTCAAAGCGAGTTGTAGCTCAGTTTTACCGTCAACTGCTTTTGTTTTTGGGTCATTTTTAACCCTGCAGAGGCAAGAAAAACAAGTCTAAAGAATAAACATAAACAGGAAGCATAAACAAGTAAGCATAAACATAAACAAAAAGCATAAACGGGGGTGGGGACTATATTTCGGTGGGAGATTTTAACCTACTTGCGTACGGAGTTTTTAATTTCCTCTCACGTAGCAACCAAAAAGCAACTCTCGCTATTGAAATTTACAGGGAAGAGATTTTTAAAAACGAAGTCATGTACTCTAAAAAGATATCCTCCCCCATTATTTTCCTTGAGAAATTTAAAATGTATTGTCACTTACTTCGAGTTATTGCGGCCATCAAATTCACGAGGAGCGTCAGGAGTGGTAATGTTGTATCTGCAAACAAACAATGTGGAAACATAGTGAACTGATGAAAAAGGATATCTATACATCCAGAATGTAGAATGAATTTTATAGTCATCCCACGGGTGGCTACGAGTTGGGACTCTAGATGTAAAAAGAAAGAGGAGAAGACCCAGGAAGGGTTGGAGACAATCGGTTGAACGGGAGAAGAAGGAGAAAAGGGGGAGCTGGGGAGAGATTGTAAAATTAGTGAAGGACAAGAAACACTGGTGCTCATTGGTAAGGGCCTTACGTGCGTATACACACGAACAGGATTAACATACGTGTAGAAAGAAAATACAACAAATAAAAGTCGAGTGTGTGGTAAAACTGTTGTTTTGAACTCGATCGAGATAAAATGGCGTAGTTTGTCCATTCTCCAAAATGAACTCACTCTTCTGCCTTTGGAGATTGACTATTGCTAAATTATTAAGGGAACATCCTTCAGGGTATGTTCTGCCAAAATCTCAGAGGTAAAATAAAGAAAACTTTATAACATTCAGTAAGGAGAACTAACATGTTGACAAGTCCTTGGACTTGAAAGAGTAACTGCTGCTAATTTGCCTTACCTTAAACGTAACACGCAGCGTTGAGTGGTGTTGGTTGGGAAACAAGGAACTTTCCACTTGTACGACGAAAACTTTCCCTCCATGTTCATTCCGTTGTGGTTAACGACAGTGGATGGGGCGTAGATCACATCTGGGGGTTTGTGAAGAAGAACATATTGCACTTCTCCATTAGCTCCTTGCGAGATCAGGTGGGACTCGTATGGTACGCCTCGTGCAAGCTTCATATCTCCCATGTTATAGCACGTGCTCAACACTCCAGCTGTTTTCTCCTCGTAGTTTGTGATAAACTTTGTCCACTTCCCTCCAGCTGCTGCACACGAATTTGCTGTGATGTACTTGGCAACGCAGTGTTTGGCGAGAGCGTTTTCATTGTCTCGAGGGCAGGACGGGTTATCTTTCAGTGTGCTTGGCATAATACACATATCTAAGAAGTTAAATATAATGGAAAAAANGAACACACCTTAAGGCTATGTTCACACTTGATGCCCGAGCACGGTGCCCGACTAAGATTCTCGCTGGGCACTAATGTGAACACACCTTTTTTCAAATACTCACACCAGAACTTGGGTACCTGGAGTACAGTGCTGAACACAACATTAGTCTCCATTGCCTTCTCGAGTTCTCGCCTTTTCAATTAAAGATGGCAACGGGAAGGACATCACGATAGGGTCAGACAGGACAGCTCATATCGATTTTAAAGGATACAGTCAGCAGGTGCACATGCGCATTACATATCATTTCATAGCTAATCTGCATATCACAGAGACGCGATCCATACTGTTTTTAACCAAATGTGATAAAATGATAGCATAGGATGAGCAAAAGCACACCCAAAAACAGGTTTGTCAGTAAACGATTGTAAATCAAGCAAAATACTGCGAAGATTGAAGCGGATTTCTAGATGTACTCAACGCGTATCTTTGATTTCAGGTTGAAGTGAACTCTTTTCAAAGTGAGAAAACTAGTGTCCAGGTCAGCGCGGTCCCAAAGCTGATTATGTCCTTTTAAATCATTTTTTCACTCGTTTAGTGTTTATATCGACGAACATTTTTATCGATAAGCTGTTCATAAACTTCGCCCCAGACACCTTTGCCTTAAAATAGAGATTTTTTTTGATCTAAAACAACACCTTAATTTTAGACTTAGTGGGCATGCAGTATGGTTTATAATATGCGATATTATTGCATAGTCACCAACTTGGATTTTAACGGCAGAAAATTACCGAGAGGAATTAAGAAATTTCAAATTCGAACTAAGCTGGTGAACCTACCTTGAGAAGTCCAAGGTTAAGCAGAAAGGAGGAGGGAATGTTTTCTCTATCTTGGTCAGCCTAAGTTTCCGGTCAAGAACTTCCTTTGCTTACGATTTTAATATGTGGTTTTCCTGTCCTTTTGCAGCGTTTAACAGAAAATGTACGTGGGACAATTAATAAAGGATTTACGACGACAGAAATTTCTTTAAACTTAAAATAATGATTGCTATGGTTAAAGTGGACAACCTTAAATAAAACTGTTAGATTATCTCGGGTACTGCCCAAATAGATCACACACTTCACACAAGTCTCAACTGATTTTCATGTTTATTTCATATTAAACAATGAAGGTATTTAACTCCGTATTTAATAGACTGGATTGGATCAGGCCCCAACGGAGGCCTGGATAACAGTGATCTGTCCCATGTGACGTCGGTTGGAGAAGTTGTTATTGCGCGTGCTCATGTAACAGTACTGCCCAGGCTTCGTGATGCGAAAACACGGCGGGTTGCAGGAAGCCGGGGCGTTGTTTAGCTGAGCCTGGAGGTTGTCAGCGGTGTAGCAGCCTTTGTTGAGGTGAAGATTCAACTTTGCAGCGTTAAATTCATTTACATGGTCAACCACTTCAAGAGGCAAGCTGTGACAAGCTGCTGGCTTGAGAGAGCTGCATCCTTCTTTTACCCAACACACGTTGGTGCGATCCGTTCCTGAAATAAAAAAGGTATCAATTTAAGTTCGTGCATTATTGGTTATTTTTCCTTCCAGACTACTGCATTGAAATACTTTGGGCAATACGTCTTTCCATGGACTCGAGGAAACATGCGGATTTTAGAACTTTGAGGCACTACTGATACTCAAGGGTTCGACCATTTACTATACATTTCTGACTGTTTTCTAAAATAGAGATAAATCATTAAAGTCTAATTCCAAGTAGTTATAATGCACACTGGCACTAGATCCCCTGATTTGTTTCAGGTTCCGTATGCTCAATACATTGCAACGAAACTGAACTAAGCAGTTGTCCTATTAAACGGTATTTTTACTGAAGTTTAATGTCTCTTTTTTTAAGAAATTTATGGCAAAATGTCTGCTTACGTGCTGTCCCTTCACCGTCGTTGTTTTGATTGTTGTTTGAACCTGCAAGATTGAAAACATGCACAAAACCTTAATTCTGAAGTGAAGTGTTAATCTAACCCTGAAGTGTCATCTCAGAGTCACAATTTTATTTGTCCTCTTCATTCTTCCATCCTATCTAATTTCACCGTCATACCAATGTTCGTCTGCGCAATCCAGTTAGTAAAATTGTAGTAGGAATTTACAATAAATAATTGTGTTCTCACCAGACCAGACGAAACATAGCACATCATGTGTTGTAACTGTAATGCGTTCAGGAGTGAAGCGATATTCCATGGCTGGATAGGCCTGCACAATGTTTCCTCTCTTTCCCATTCCTCCGATGTAGTATATGTTGGATTGCCGATATTTTGCAGGGAGATGATTTCGCGGCTTTAGGAGGATCACGTGACTTCTGTCCTGGAATGTTCGGGCGAGCTGCGCGGTGTTCAAAGCGAGTTGTAGCTCAGTTTTACCGTCAACTGCTTTTGTTTTTGGGTCATTTTTAACCCTGCAGAGGCAAGAAAAACAAGTCTAAAGAATAAACATAAACAGGAAGCATAAACAAGTAAGCATAAACATAAACAAAAAGCATAAACGGGGGTGGGGACTATATTTCGGTGGGAGATTTTAACCTACTTGCGTACGGAGTTTTTAATTTCCTCTCACGTAGCAACCAAAAAGCAACTCTCGCTATTGAAATTTACAGGGAAGAGATTTTTAAAAACGAAGTCATGTACTCTAAAAAGATATCCTCCCCCATTATTTTCCTTGAGAAATTTAAAATGTATTGTCACTTACTTCGAGTTATTGCGGCCATCAAATTCACGAGGAGCGTCAGGAGTGGTAATGTTGTATCTGCAAACAAACAATGTGGAAACATAGTGAACTGATGAAAAAGGATATCTATACATCCAGAATGTAGAATGAATTTTATAGTCATCCCACGGGTGGCTACGAGTTGGGACTCTAGATGTAAAAAGAAAGAGGAGAAGACCCAGGAAGGGTTGGAGACAATCGGTTGAACGGGAGAAGAAGGAGAAAAGGGGGAGCTGGGGAGAGATTGTAAAATTAGTGAAGGACAAGAAACACTGGTGCTCATTGGTAAGGGCCTTACGTGCGTATACACACGAACAGGATTAACATACGTGTAGAAAGAAAATACAACAAATAAAAGTCGAGTGTGTGGTAAAACTGTTGTTTTGAACTCGATCGAGATAAAATGGCGTAGTTTGTCCATTCTCCAAAATGAACTCACTCTTCTGCCTTTGGAGATTGACTATTGCTAAATTATTAAGGGAACATCCTTCAGGGTATGTTCTGCCAAAATCTCAGAGGTAAAATAAAGAAAACTTTATAACATTCAGTAAGGAGAACTAACATGTTGACAAGTCCTTGGACTTGAAAGAGTAACTGCTGCTAATTTGCCTTACCTTAAACGTAACACGCAGCGTTGAGTGGTGTTGGTTGGGAAACAAGGAACTTTCCACTTGTACGACGAAAACTTTCCCTCCATGTTCATTTCGTTGTGGTTAACGACAGTGGATGGGGCGTAGATCACATCTGGGGGTTTGTGAAGAAGAACATATTGCACTTCTCCATTAGCTCCTTGCGAGATCAGGTGGGACTCGTATGGTACGCCTCGTGCAAGCTTCATATCTCCCATGTTATAGCACGTGCTCAACACTCCAGCTGTTTTCTCCTCGTAGTTTGTGATAAACTTTGTCCACTTCCCTCCAGCTGCTGCACACGAATTTGCTGTGATGTACTTGGCAACGCAGTGTTTGGCGAGAGCGTTTTCATTGTCTCGAGGGCAGGACGGGTTATCTTTCAGTGTGCTTGGCATAATACACATATCTAAGAAGTTAAATATAATGGAAAAAAATGTTATTGAGTGTTTTTTGCTGCACAGGATTGTCTTTTTCGGTGACTGTCGAATGTTAGAGCGGTTTTAAATAGAGTGTCGTAAAATCAAATCCCAAGTAAACACTGTGACCAGTCGCAAAGGACGCAGACAATCCAGTGAGCTAATAAAAACTCGAGGTACACGTAGCAGGCGAAGAGAGCGGGAAAATGTGTGCGAAAGAGTTACGATTGGTTTTGGTTGCCTCTAAGTGTATGAATAAGCGGCGTGAGTTTTCTAAGCCAATCGTGTAGCGTGCCTGATGGAAAACCAATTAATTTTCGACTCTGAACTGAAAACCGCTCAAACGAAGAGTGTGTAGATAGTTGCAGCCAGTCAATTAGGCGCACAAGTGAAATAAAGCAATCAAAAATTAAATAGAGTGCTTCGATTCGAGCCAAGGTGATGAACTGGAAATAGACTTTTCCCTCATCCAACAAACACTAGCGCGGGATGAACACCAGAACGAGTTCATAATGAAGTGGAATGCAGGAAAGGTCTATTACAGATCGGCTGAAAAAATTAAATAATGTTCTGTTGATAAAACAGCATTTAAACTCACATTTGTAACCATATTGAGGACTGTTAACGTATTTCTTCATCAAATTCTCGGTCTTTTTATTGCTGACCATGATAGCAATGTCCTTCCACGGGGTGGGGCCCCAATAAGGATAGTAATCGCGCTCCTCGGGGACCTCCAAGCCCCTTCTTGTTCCAGCAGGGTTTTGTCGCGTGTAGATCGGCAGTACACCTTTAAGTTTTTGGTCAGCGGTAAACAAACCTGCGGCACGAGCAAAAGGTGTTAGCTTCGCGCTGGAAGTTTACTATAAATAGTGAGATGCATGAGGCCTTTTTAATTTATTTTGATTAATTGACCAAAACCCGAAGAGGATTACAGTGCGACGACTCTAACCAAGGCCCCCAACAAACGTTTCTGCAAATTTAACGAATAAAAATAATGGAGTTCGGTTTAAATATAATTTTCCGACGTATTCATGTAGTCAAGCTGTACATTACAAAGGCAAGAGAATTGTGGTCATTTTGATTATTAACTATTTAAAAAGTTTTAAAATTCCATAGGTCAATTTGCAAAGAATTTGTTCGGAGTAGTCGCAGTAGAAATATTTGAAATAGTCAATCCTTATGTTTCGATATTATTATCTGTACATAGATTAGGAACTCTGAACTGACGTGCATTGAATCCACATAATCGATCGGATTGGAAAGTGCGAGTCAACAGGACTACAAAGTGCCAGGGAAAACCTGAACCTTAAAGATTTTTTGACCTAAATGTAGTTCCGTGATCCAGTCAGGACTAAAACCAATGAGCAAATGCTTATCGCTTATGCTTATCTGCTTATCGCCTATGTAACGCCCGAGAAGAGAGTGAGAAACCCGAGCAAGTTTTAGTTTTCTGTTTGTACATAACATTATTACATAAAAACACCATAAAATTTCTCTTCATTTTGAGAGTCCCAAAAATTGACTGAACATATCTCGACACAGCTATTCAAAACAGTTATGGTACCCTCACCTTTGTTTCTTTCTCTGCGGAAATACGCCTGATAATAATTGGCTGGTTCGTGAAGTCCTCGGTCCCTTCTGATATAAGAATTCTCTCTATTTCCGTTTCTGAAATCCTGAGTGTTTAGTGTTTGACCGTTACGAATGGTATGATACTCAAACTCTCTGTTCACATCATTGGTAGCCATCTCGCCCTCAGGATACGCCTGACACATGTACTGTAAGATAACTTGTGTTTCCACTCTGTCATCAGTCTTTGGACCGGTCCCGTGTTGATTTGTCCACATGATTTCTACTTCAGTTTTAGCCTTGGCGTCGCATCCACTCATGTAGAACTCCTGACAAATCGAAAGCAAATAGAAGCGCTCAAAAAATGTTGTTTCAAAGACCGGGCTAATCAAAATCTCTTTTGAGCACATTAGAAATGTTTCTTTTTTTCTTTGCTTACCATTGGTAGTTGTCTGAATTCTTGAATATTGTCTCCAGGGTTACCATCCAATTTGTCTCCGACATTGTATCCACCTTTGCCGTTATTCTGAAAAAGTAAACATCAGTTACTCGAAACAGTGTTGTTAGTTTCGTAAATTTCAGGGAAAGAGACTGGCGTCCAACGTCTTGCTAACGTCTCAATTGAGATGACAAGTTTAAATTCTCATGGCCTTCCTGGATGTCAAACTTCGTTTTGCTACATATTTCTAGGACTATTTTAAACATATTTCAAGCTTAGTTCTGACACCTTGTTGGTCCGTATCTTGCAATTTGTGCGTGTTTTTCCACAAGTGACAACTGCAAGTAAGAAATTTAAGCCGAATAGCTCAGGGGCAAGAATGGGCGAGACTTCTTACCTGTGAATCAAACAATCTGTTTGCGTTCCGGACGTTATCTTGGTTGCCATTCAAACGATTGTTGGATCCTGGTGGAAAATGCATGTATATGTCCGACATGCAAGGCTCGATAAGTGTAGCCAGGAGGCAGCACCAACCGAAAATGGTCCTCATTTCCTGTTCTGCACAAAATTAAGAACAAATAGTGAACTTATAAACAAAGACTAAAAGCGTACAAAAAGGAAGCTGCAGTTTCACAATAATGGAATTGGTCCTTGCTCCTTGCTCATTTTAAGGGGTATTTGAAATTATTGAATCTTAGCCGGAAAACTTAACTAACGTTTTCGACGAAAAAAAAAAAAAAATAAAACAAAAATCTTACCTGAACTTTCCTTTCTCGTCTAAAATTGTTGTTGACAAACTGGAACAGCGAACAAGCCGACTGATCCTGAATCAATTTGTGTTGACCTTGAATACATTTTTATAGGACTTGTGGCATAATTATACACAATTACGCTGATTCGGACACATGCAAGTGATAATTGACATATATTCACCGAAGTGGCGGTGAATAGCGGAGGTTGATTACCGAACTACAAAAGGTCGCAAAAGGGTGCGGTTTATGCCATTTGCTGTTTACGAACTTTAGCTTATGGCTTGCCATAGCTAAAACAGTCAAAATTGCTAGCGAGAAAAACAAAAACATCGTAAATTTCTGATAAGAAATGGAACTTTTATGAGGAGGTAATTTCGCTTGAAAATTGTAAACCATTTCATTACACGATTTCACGGGCTTAAGTAACCAATCAGAAGGCGCGAAATTAACTATTCATTGGTTTTGGCATACGGATTATGGATGCGTTAATAATAATATTAATAATAAAAGTGTTACTGTGTGAATTAATATATAAACGGTGTTAATTGCATGCTGGTTGTCCATTTCTATCTGAAATGGACCTTTTTAGCTTGGGCGGTTCGTTGCCCCATTTCAGACCATAGTTAATAGAGGGAAATGGTTATGAAACCCGACAAAGTTCTTTGTTGTATGTTTTTGTTCACTTTTGTGGCCTTGACCGTGCCCAAAACACAATAGTTGTTTACTCCGTACTGAGGAACTAACCAATAGAAACGTGTTGGTTACGTAATTCATGCATAGTGTATGAGCGCAACACAAAAGATTGTACACGGTCGTGGACCTTCCAACATAAATCTTGCTCCTTTGATGTTTGCCGGGCGTCATAACCAGTCCCCTCTAGACCATGTGATGGTACTCGACAATGTCATGTGTAATGGGAAAACAAACTGCCCAAGCTAAAAATGTGTAGCAACCGATTCCAAAAGTTGTCACATTGTTTTTTCTTTCTACTGAAGACATTGTATTTGTTTATTTTTGCATGATGGCTATCCTCCATCTCCTTATAAAGCCACATTAAAATGATATACACAAAATGACCCCGAGCATCCAAACACTGGAAAATAAGAAAAAGGCACAACTTAAGTGTGTAATGAGTATTGAACGAACGTGACGATTACAAGTAGATGAGAAATATATGAAAAGCGTCATTGCGTTTTAGCATGTTAAGACGTTACATATTTTTTGCATCCCAGGGGAGAGTTTTCCCACGAATCATCAATATAAAACTTTGATGTTAAGCATATTTCTCTTTTTCTATTGGTTTGTTTCTCAGTCAGTAGTAAACAATTATTGTGTTTTGTGCACGGTCAAGGCTGAAAATGTGAGCAAAAGCACAACAAGGGACTTTGTCGGGTTTCATAACCATTCCCCTCCGTTAACTATGGTTCGAGCAATATTTAAAGCCAGCATCGGTTACCTGTTGCTTAACTTGACGTTGGTTCTAAATGCGGAAGGTTTCAGACATTTTATGTGCACGAAAATAATAATGCACAAGACTTTCGTACACATCAATCGAAACCACCTAAAATGGCGACGCTTTACCTAAAAACTTTGATATTTAAATGCCAATCATCTTCTCCTCATCGTTATAAGGGACTGTGCAATAATTACCTGAAGGGGGGGGG